AGGAAGAGCGGCAGACAGAGCGCCGGCCGCGGGGGCGGCGGCAGGCGCCCCGGACAGGCGGGCCCGGGCGCGCCCCACAGGCCTGCTGGGCTGCGGGGGGAGGCCACTGCTGGGGGGGCCCTCGCAACGCAGACCCCTCGAGTCGAGGAACAATCACGACGGGAGGTTTCTCGCTATGCTCGGTCAGCGCCCCTCAAACGGGGACTCCACTAACGGGTACTTTGGCCAGTGACCCAGCGAACCCAACCTTTCCCGATGTGGGCAAAGCTGCAATGCAAGAAAAAGGCCCTAAAGTGGCAACATTCGGCAAAAATTCAAAGTACCCGTTAGTAAGTACCCGTTACGGTGCCGTTGATTCGGCCTCTGGGGGCCCTCCCCGGGCCTCAGGGGCGTCCAAAAACGCCTCAGGACGGAACCCCGGTCCTGGGGAATGGGTCGAGACCTCTGGGGGTCGACGGCATGAAGAAATCATGACGTCGGGGGTCCTCGCAAGACCAAGTGCCCAGAGATCCAGCGCGTCGGAAACACCACACGGAGGGCATTCCCCACGTTTAGAGGCCTCCTAGATGGGGCCCGAGTAGTTCGATAGGGGTCGGAGGATCGCGCCACATCGCCGATGCATCGGCGATGTATCGCCGATGCATCACGGATGCATCGGCGATGCATAGGCGACCTCGGCGTAGATCGGCGACATCGGCGTGGATAAAATCGGGCTCTGCATCGAACCGCATCGCCGATGCATCGGCGATGCGGCGCAATTCTCCGACCCAATCCACTCCGACCCCATCTAGGAGGCCTGGGTCAATGTCGAAAACAAAACCATACGGAGGCTTTTCCCCCTGCTTGGCCTCCGGGGGCCCTCGCCGGGCACAAGGGCTGGTGAGATATCGGCCCAGGATGAACCGCCGGCCCGAGGGAAAGGGTCGGGTCTTCTTGGGCCGCGCTGTAAAACAAACACACCGGCTGTCTTGCTTCGGGGGGGTCCCAAGGTCGCCGGAGTTGCTCTGCCGGGGAAGCGGGGGAGGGGGGGGGGGGCTCCATCTAGCGTTGTCTCCACGAATTGCGCGGCGTCCCCCAAATGTTTGGGGAGGTCCCAGGGTCGCCGGGGTGGCTCTGCCGGGGAAGCGGGGGAGGGAGGAGGCCACAGAGCCGAGAAGATCACTAAATCCGCAGCCCCCAGGATCGGCGGCACTGGCTGGAGGCCATTGCAATACATCGGATGCCTTGGTACCTGCTGCGAAGACAGATTCGGAGGCAACGGAGCCAGATTAAGCAAGATTCAGCCCTGGACCAAGCTGAATTAAGCCGATGATTATACCAGCGCCAGTGCCGAGTGTAGCCTCCCAAGAGACACAGCGGACCAAAACGAGGCTTGACATACCCCAGTTTTGTAGTACGTTCACGGGCTTGATGCTCGATCCTGGGCCCTCGAACTTTCAACCTCCTCTTCCCCCCCATCTTCCTACGCCTCTTTTTGTGCCATCCAGTCCAACCCAGAAACCCACCCGTCACCGAGGCCACAACTCAGCCAGCGAACCCAGCCGCTGGAACCTCTCAGTGCGTACCTGGAACTGGCGACCCCGTCGGCTTCTCACCTTGTCTGGGGATCGGCGGCACCGAGACATCAAACGTCGCGATTTGTGCCACAGCGTGGTTCCACGGACGCTGTCCCAGGGGGATCACATTTCAACCCCGAATCGTCGTTGGACGGTCCTGGGGCCCGGTGCGAGCCCCCAGGGAAAGCGGGCAAAACTCTTCCGCCGTGAGCCAGTTACGGCGCAGGACGGTCGCTCAAGAGGGTGGCCCCTCGAAACAAACCTCGATCCTCGATAATGCAGCCTCAATGGGGAAATAAGAAACACACAAGTCAAAACTTTTGGGGGGATCCGCGCGGATCTCTTTTGGATCGGTGCAAAAAGAGCCGCCAGGGGGGATCCAAGACATTCGCGCGACCTCCGAAAATGTATGTCAGTATATAGTGATTATTATTGCCGGCGCGCCGCCTTTCCCCCCCCCCGCCTTCTCCCCCCCTCCCTCCCCGCGCCTGTGTCGTTCGTCTGTCGTCCGTCGTTGGTCATCGTCGTGTCGTGTCGTGTCGTTCCTCTACTCTCAGCCACTGGGCTCCTATCGCGTTGGCAAAACAATCATGGGCATCTTGTTCTGTAGGAAAACAAGTGGCTATTCAAAGAAAAATCGGAGTCCCAGAAGCCGGCCCATCTCGCCCTGGCCTCCTCTGCCCACCTGCGCAGCGCCGCCAGCGCGGACTCTCGAATCTGCCATCAATCCTCCAGCGTCAAGCTAGAAATGGCCTCTTCGGAAACAGAGAAGAACCTGCATAGGCATACGCGTCAAAAGGATCCCATAGATTTCTTGGATGCATGCTGAACCCCCCCTGGCAGCGCCTCCGACTTCGCCCTCGCGCGCTCCGCCCGCGAGGGAAGCGAGGCCCGATCGAAAAAAACGACCAGACCTCCGAACAAATAGGTTCATGCAATCCCACCAGCCCTCCAGGATCAGGTGGCCTAAGGAAACGTCGCTTCCAACTCCTTTTCCCCCACTTCGGGGAAAGGCTTACCACTGCTCCAAAGTGATGAAACAACCCCGCCCCCACCCGACAGCGGTGCCGAGCACACCACTCAGCGACGTTTCAGCGAGTCGAGCCAGCTTAAGATCAGATGGCTACGGACATGAAACGGCATCCTATCGATTGCGCCGCAGTTTCCGCCCTCGGCCAGCGGAGAATCCAAAGGCCGCCTACTCATTGCGACGTAGGCTGCGCCATCCGCTGGCCGACGATAAAACGGCCGCCTACTGTGCGCGCCCTGATGTGCGGCCTCGGCCGGCCGTGGAGAAAACGGCCGTCTGACGGGCGCGACCAATCAGTTGGTGTTGGAGCTGGACTTTACCTCCCGAGGAACAAATTCTAGCTACGCCCGAAGACATGAACTCCTTGGGGTCGGGGCCCAAGGCACCGAGGCACGTGGCACCGTAGCTCTCCACCCGGTCACGGCTGCGCAATAGTGCACCTCGCGCGCACTGCGCGCGCCGAGCACGTGGCGCACTTGACGCGGCTGAAAAACGTGGCGCGCTTGGCGTTCGTGGAGTACGTGCCGCACTTGCCGCGCCTCACTCGCTTGGGCCTCAAGGGTGCCTGGTGCATCTGAACCCGTGGCGCACATGGCATGCGTGGCGCTCCCCGGCAGTGTGCTGCGACTCCAGTACCACAAATGTGTTGGGAGGGCAGGTGGGAATGAGCGAGACGGCTTGCGGTCTTGGGGGGGTCCTCGACCCCTCCACCTTGCCCCCGTCCCTCCCTGAACTTGGACGGGGGTGGTCGCGGGTAGTTGAAGCGTCCAAGATGGCCCAAGATGGCTCCAAGAGGGCCTCGGCGAGAGCGCAAGATGGCCTCCACAGTGGCTCCAGACAGCGCAAGATCGCTCAAGATGGCTTCCAAGATGCTGCAAGAGGCCCCAAGGACAGCCGCAAGACGGCTCCATGTGGCCAACGAGCTCCCCAACGAGGAGGCCCCCAAGGCACCAAAATCCTTCAACAACCCGAGGGAAATCAATGTGTCTGGCCGTCTCGCCTTTTCGCTTCCGACGGCCATGCGAGGCCTCAGGATGGATCCAAGATGGCACCAGGAGGGCCCCAAGAGGGCCGCCGAAGAGCCCCAAGATGGCCCAAAGAGCGCCCAAGAGCGCTCCAAGCGCGCCCCAAGAGCGCCCTAGAGCGCCCCAGGAGGCGATGTTGAGGCACTCTAGAAGGGCAACGCTGACTGAAGCTCCCCTCTTGTTGTATCGATGTCTTCCAAGATGGCTCCAAGAGCGCCCCCAAAGCTCCCGAGAGCGCCCCAAGAGGGCCCCAAGAGGTCCCCAACAGGCGCCCAGGCGGCCCGAAGAGGCGCCAAAGGGGCTTCCAAGAGGCTCCAAAGAGACCCCCAAGAGGCCTTAAGAGGATCCGAGGCACCCAAGACGCTCAAAGACGGCCCAGGGCCCGCCATGATGCCCACCCAGACGGCCCCAAAAGGCATCAAAAAAGCTTCCAAGCGACATCCGAGGAGACTCCGAGAGGCATTCCAGAGGCTTTTGGTTGTTCTGTTCGCTCGTTTCCTCCTCCTCCTCCTCCTCCTCCTCGTCCTCCGCATCCTCTCCCTCCTCCTCCTCCTTGTCCTCATCCTCCTTCTCCGCCTCCTCATCCGGTTCCTCCTCCTCCTCCCTCCTACCTCCTCCCGGTCCCACAACTCCTCCTCCTCCTCCTCCTCCTCCTCCTCCTCTTCTTCTTCTTATTAGTAGTATTACTCGTATTATTATGCGTATTCTTAATATTATTATTATGTTTCTGATTCGTGTTATTATCATTCGAATTGTTGTTAGTCTTATTCTTAGTGGTAGTATTAGGATTTGCATTATTTTGTTTATTCGTATTATTCTTATACTCATCATAATCAGTATTATTCGTATCGCTACTTTTTATATTATTAGCATGAGTATTATTACTATTAATCTTATTCGTAGTCGTATTATTCATATTCTTAATATTATTATTAGTATTAGTATTCGTATTAGTCGTCTTCCTCCTCCTCATCCTCCTCCTCATCATCAGCACCATCATCATCATCATCAGCATCAGCATCATCATCATCATCATCAGCATCAGCATCAGCATCAGCATCAGCATCATCATCATCATCATCATCAGCAGCAGCAGCATCATCATCATCATCATCATCATCATCAGCATCATCATCATCATCGTCATCATCATCAGTATCATCATTATCATCATCATCATCATCATCAACAACCCCATCATCACCATCATCATCATCAGCAGCAGCATCAGCATCAGCATCAGCATCATCAACAACATCATCATCATCATCATCATCATCATCATCATCATCATCATCATCATCATCATCATCATCATCATCATCATCGTCATCGTCATCATCAGCATCAGTATCAGCATCATCATCAACAACAACATCATCATCATCATCCGCGTCCTCCTCCTCCCTCCTACCTCCTCCCCGTCCCACACCTTCTCCTCCTCCAGGCCCAGGAAGCCAAAAACAACGGAAACCCTCAGGACCCTCGGAAGCGGCCAGGTGGTCGGCGCCAGGTGGGCCGGTAGAACAAATGTCAAAATGAGGGGCGACTGCAAGTCCGAACAGAAGCTATCCCTAGACCCTTCCCGGGGCGAACCTGACCAATTGTTCGAGCCGCGTCCAGCTGTGGTGACGAGGGGCCCCTTCTACTTGCCAGAACCATTGCCACCGTTTCGCTCGGGACCCGTCTGCTTCATGGCGCAGCACCTCCCCGGAAGTTGGAAGGGCTCGATGTGTGCATGCACCACGCCGCTTGGTGGTCCAAGGATCTCGGAGTATACACGCTCCAGCGGCCCCACCTGTGAACCGCCGTAGCGTCTACTCCGAGTTTCTTACTAAGCATCGGGGGGGCGTCACACCCGCCGATGGCCCCACCTCGACCCCCGTCGCGGGCAGCCGCCGCGCACCGAAGGCGCTCCGACCCCCGTCGCGGCGCGACGACAGGCGAGGTTGACCCCCGTCGGGGGGGTACCCACCCACGCTTGTAAAAAACCCAGAGTACGCACCGAATTCCTTCGCCGAAGGCGTTGGCTCTTCGGCCGACCAGGCGACGTGCTGTCACCACCGAGGCGAGGTTGACCCCCGTCAGGGGGGGGGCCACACTTGTCAAGAAACCCGGAGTACGCACAGAATTACTTCGCCGAATGCGTTGGCTCTTCGGCCGACCAGGCGACGTGAGGACGAGGAGGAGGAGGAGCAGGAGGAGGGAGGAGGGGGAGCAGGAGGAGGAGGAGGGGGAGGAGGGGGAGGAGGAGAGGAGGAGAGGAGGAGGAGGAGGAGGAGGAGGAGGAGGAGGAGGAGGAGGAGGAGGAGGAGGAGGGATGCGGAGGGATGAGGAGGAGGAGGAGAAGGAGGAGGGAGGAGGAGGAGGAGGAGGCGGAGGAGGAGGGAGGAGGAGGAGGAGGAGGAGGAGGAGGAGGAGGAGGAGGAGGAGGAGGAGGAGGAGGAGGAGGAGAGGAGGAGGAGGAGGAGAGGAGGAGGAGGAGGAGGAGGAGGAGGAGGAGGAGAGGATGAGGAGGAGGAGGAGGAGGAGGAGAATGAGGAGGTGGAGGAGGAGGAGGAGGAGGAGGAGGAGGAGGAGGAGGGAGGAGGAGGAGGAGGAGGAGGAGGAGGAGGAGGAGGAGAGGAGGAGGAGGCGGCGGCGGCGGCGCGGGGGCCTTGCAGGCCCACCAGCGCCGCCGGGGAGCCGAGCGCCCCCAGGCCGCCCATGGCCACGCGCGGCAGCAGCGCCTTGCCTGGCGGGCGGGCGGGCGGGCCGACTGCCAGCCAAACCACCCCGAGGAAGGGGCCCTGGGACGCACACAATAATAGACTTAAGTCGGGCGTGTCCCCCTGCAGGCTGATTTTCGACGAAAAATAAAAAAGGCCCTAACAAATACCCCCGAAAGGCAACAACAATATCAAAAAATAATCCCCAGACTACTTTGGGATTATTATTTGACTATTGTTTGTATTCGTTTATCTTTCGTCGAAAATCCCCCTGTACGAGGACAGGCCCGACTTAAGAATAGACACAAATAGCAGGATTCCCCTTATTTTCCCATACTGTTTGGAGCTTTGTCTTCCCCATAACTTCCCATAGTTTGCCATGTTTTCCTGTGAGTGGACAATCCATTGTGTCTGTGTGCTGTATCCCTCCTGACCCAACCCAACCCGCAGATCTGAGTTTCGCCCGAACTTCGGGTTGGGGGGGCACGGGCTCCATGCGTTTTTTGTCTATGTTCCCCGACGTCCCCCCCCCACTGGAGATGGAGGGCAAATCGGGGCCTTCGGGTTGGGTTGGGGCGGTTTCGTGGGCGGCGACGGGCGGTGACGACGACGACGACGACGACGACGACGACGACGACGACGACGAAGACGACAAAATCACGACGACGACGAGGACGACGACGGAATCACGACGACGACGACGACGAAATCACGACGACGACGACGACGACGACGACGACGACGACGACGACGACGACGACGACGACGACGACGACAATAACACGACGGGTGCCTTGCGGGAGGGGCGCCGCGCCGAGAGCGCTCCGGGGGCGCTCGGGTCGTCCCGAGCGGCCCGTATAGTAAGGATGCGCGATGAGGATGCAAGGTCCTTGGAAGTACATTTCGAAGTTTTCGAGCGGGGCGCGGCCAGCGAAGGTGGCCAAGGATGCACCGAGGAGGCAAGGATGCCAGGGGTACCCTTGGGCAGGTTGCCCATCCTCACTGTGCGGGCTGACTGCACCCTGGCAGAGCCGCCTCCGACTCCAGCGACCAGGGCAGCCTTCCAGGAGGTGCCGAACGTCGCGCCGAGGCCGTAGGCGAGGCCTCTGCGGGGGGGGCAAGGGGGGGGGCGAGGCAGCAGGAGACAGGGAAGCAGGGAGGAGGAGGGGGGGGGAGGAGGAGGAGGAGGAGGAGGAGGAGAAGAAGGAGGAGGAGGAGGAGGGGGAGGAGGAGGAGGAGGAGGAGGAGGAGGAGGAGGGGGAGGAGGAGGAGGAGGAGGAGGAGGCACGAGGCCGGACCTGGGACAGAGGAGCGCCCCTCGAGAACAGGGGACCCTCCGCCGGCCAGAGCACACAGAACAGCCCAAGGCCGGGGAGGGCCTTGTGCTGTTCTGTGTGCTCTGGCCGGACCCCTGGACGGCGTCTTGGGGTGTGTCGAGACCGTCTGGGGCCGCCGGGATTGCTGGGGCGATTTTGAGCCTCCCAGAGGCGGGCCCGGGGACAGAACCCTCCGCCGGTCAGAGCACACAGAACAGGGGGGTACCCTCCCCAAGGACGGCACAAGAGCATCCAACAAGCACGAAGAGCATCAGGGTACACTCCCCGAGCCGCCCTCGACCTTCTACCGCCGTCCGACCGCACGGCAGATTCGTGCGGCACTGGCGCGCGCCAGCGATGAGTTGACACCCCGTCGATCGTCCAGCATTGAACCGGTCGCGGCCCCGACCGCTCGTCGCAACGTAACGAAGACGCAACGTAACTAGCCCGGTCTGCTGCGTCATTCACGCAACATGCTTCAATGCCAGCATGCGGCCTGGAATGTATGGAACGGACTCGGCCCCGTGTTCCATCGCACACATTCGCTGGCCCCAGGGAAGCGCGGCGGACGCAGGCGCGTGCAGTCGCCGCGCCGCCGCACGGCTTGCACGCGTCGCGGCGCGCCGCAGGTGATGGGCACAGGTCCGCGCGCGCCCCGCGCGCGGCAGTTGCTCGCCGCGACGGCGCGCAGGCACATTTGCGTATCCAGGACCTGGAGCGCGCACCCCGCGCTCGGGATTTGACCCACCAGAGCCCACACCGTTTCTCGCCCGATGCTGGGTCGTGCTGCGACCAGCACCGAGGCCTCCCGTGGCGCCTGCGCCCTCTCGGCGCGGCGCCCGCGCCACGCGGCGCGGCGCAGGCTGCGGCGCACACGGGGGAGGCTCGGGGGGAGGCTCCGGGGACGCCTCCAGGAGGCTCCGGGAGGGGAGAGGGCACTTCGTGTGCAAGTGTGTCCCTTGGTGGTATTTGACCCCAGGGCCCCCAGGACCGAGTTTCCAGTACATGAAAGGTTTATGAACATATTATATGTATAAAAAATACTGTAAACATGTACACGCCCTACTCCTCATTATCATCCGCCTCCTCCACCTCGTGTCTCCCTCTGTCTTTCTCTCTGTGTCTTCACTCTCTCTGTCGAAGTATGTATATATGTATATATATATATATATATGTATATGAATGTGAGTATGTGCATCCCTGCTTACCTCTCCCTCGTTTTATTATATGCGTGTGTGTGTGTGCATCCGTGTTTCGACTTCTGTCTCTCTCCCTCTTTTATCTTCTCTCTCTCTATTTCTGTCTTTATCTTAATCTCATGCGCCTCCGATCCTCATCTTACCCATGCAGCCTCCTCATGCTCCTCTTCTTACTTCTTCTCATCCATATGTTTTCCTCCTCGTCCACTACCACAAACCCCACCTTCCCCCGAGCCTCCCCCCCACGCCTCCCTCTCTCTCTCTGTCTATGTTTGCTTTTGTTCTCTCTCTCTCTTTTCTCTCTCTCTCTTCCCTCCCTTTCCAATAGCTTCTGCCTCGCTCCCCTGCTGTCCCCCCCCTGCCTGCGGTGAAGCCCGCCCCGGCCGGGAGGTTGAACGCAAGGCAGTCCCGGACCCGGTGCCACGCCAGCACGAGGTCGTCGGTGTCCACCTGCGGGCTGAAAAGGTAAAAATGAGACACACAGGCCGTTGAACAGAAACCTGTTCGGTGCCAAAATAGGCGGCCTGAAGCCCCAGTTCCCGTCGGAACGGACAGGGATCACGTTCGCACGCAGCGCAGACAGTGGGGGAGAAAGACAAGGCGCTGCCCATGTGAGTTCGTGCGCCGATCGGCTGCATGGGACCGTGTCAGCTTGTCCTGCCAGAGGGGGGGGTGCAATTTCCCCCCCCCGTGGTTTTCGATTGCCTAGCAGGCCCTGGCAACTGTTTGCCGCAGGTGCACTGCGCCGCGCGTGCCAAGCAGAAAGGAACAGACAAACTCATAAGCATACACTCTCGGAACTCTGCGCGGACGCCTTGGATCGTCGCAGGACACCCCCCCAGCGGCGCCTCTGGCTCCCTCCCTGGCACCGGGGAGTGGGCGGGGGTCCAGCGCCGATATCCAAGAAATCCGCGCAGAACGCCGAGATGTTCCTCTAGTGTTTCTGTTGTTCCTCGGCTACGCACATTTGTTCGGCATGCTCCTCGAATGTCTATCGGTGTTTCTTTGTTGCTCGAAAAGGTTCCTCGAATGCTTCAGTTGTCGCTGCTGCCCGAATGCTGTCTTTGTTCCTCGAATGCTCCTCGAATGGTTGTGCGTGTTTGTTGCCCCTCGACCCTGGACCCTGGACTTCGCCCAGACCAGTACGATTATTATCATCATTATTATCATTCTTATTAGTGTTATAATTATTATTATTACTATTATTCTTATTATCATTATTATTTGTCTTCCTCTTCATCCTGACTCGTCTTCTGACAGCCCCAGGACCCGTGGGGGGGGGGCCCGAGAGCCCGAACGCTGCCAAAAGAGCCTCGGGACCCGTTCCCCTCAGCACGGCGATCTGTGTTTGCGCGGCTGGCTTGTCCCTCCAGGAGAGGCCTTCTGGGATGGGGTCCGAGTAGATGGGGTCGGAGGATCTCGCCACATCGCCGATACATCGGCGCTGCATCATCGATGCAGCGGCGATGCAGCGGCCAGGCACTGGCGACATCGGTGATGCATCTGCGACGTCGGCGTGGGCAAAATTGGGCCCCACATCGGGCTGCATCGCCCACGCGTCGCCGATGCATCGGCGATGCGGCGCGATCCTCCGGCCCCATCGATCCGACCCCATCTGAGAGGCCCAGATCCAGAGCGCACTCCTGTGCGGCACCGTCCCCCAGGGTTATGTCGGGCGTGTCCCCCTACAGGGGGATTCTCGACGAAAAATAAAAGATACCCCAAAAATGCCCCAAGAAGGCCCGAAAATACTAAAAAAACAAAGAGTCCCCCGGACTATTTCTAGACTATTTGTAAACTATGTTTTTACTTTTTATTTCTCGTCGAAAATCCCCCTCTAGGGGGACAGGCCCGACTTAACCCCAGGGGCTCCCGGAAGGGGGGGGGGGGGGCGCGCCCGTGGGGGGAGGGGCGCAGGAGGCGGGGCGCCGAGGGCCGGGGGCCGCGGCGGAGAGGGGGCGGCCGCGGGGGGCAGGGGGCGGGGAGGGCGGAGGGGGGAGGGAGGGGGCGGAGGAGGGGGAGGAGGAGGGGGAGGAGGAGGAGGAGGAGGAGGAGGAGGAGAGGAGGAGGAGGAGGAGGAGGGGTGGAGGAGGAGGAGGAGGAAGCAGGAGGAGGAGGAGGCCCGGCCGCGGGGGCGGAGGGCAGGGAGGGAGGCTATATCTCCCCGAGAGTGCTGCAGCGCGCCCGTCCCCCACTCGGGGAGCTCCTCGGCCCGGGCGGGGGCCACACCCGGGGCCCCGGGGAGGCCTCGCGGCGTCCTGCAGGGTCCTGCACCGCAAGCTTAAGTCGGGCGTCCCCCTACAGGGGGATATTGAGCGAACAATAATAAAAATAGTCAAACAATGCCCCCACATTGACAAACATTGCATTTTGAAAAAACGTCCCCAGACTATTGCTAGACTATTTGCGACTTTCCCTCCTGTAGAGGGACAGGCCCGACTGAACGCCAAGCCCAGGTCAAGGCGAGGGATCCTGTAAGATCCTGCAGGATCCCGCGCCCGAGCCCGGGTCAATGTGCGCCCCTGGCGCTGCAGGATCCTGCGAAGAGAAGGCGCACGGGCTGAACCCCGTTGGCACTGGCCCCCGTCTCTCGGGCCCCGACGCTCCCTCTCCCCCTTCCCTCCGGGGAACTGGGATGGAAGTCCTCCTCCTCCTCCTCCTCCACCTCCTCCTCCTCCTCCACCTCCTCCTCCTCCTCCACCTCCTCCTCCTCCACCTCCTCCTCCTCCACCTCCTCCTGCTTCTCCTCCTTCTCCTCCTCCTTTCTTCTGCGCAGGAGGGTTGGGCGCTCCCCGGCGGAGGCTCGTCATCGCTTCGGAACCTCCAGGAAGGGTCTCGTCGCCGCTGGGGGGGGTCGCGCCCCTCCTGGCCTCGAGGTGAGTTCGAAGCGTCTATGGGCGAAGAGACCGGGAGTATGCGGATAGTCGTGGTCGCAGGTCTTGGCACCTTGGATGGCGAACGAACAACACGCACCCATGCCGCATGCCCATAGACGAGACGGGGAGGGCTACGGGCGCGTGTTGTCAGATGGAGGTCCCCGCTCGAACGGGAGCCTACCGCAGGGTCCGACAACCCGCACTCATACCCAGAGCCGGTCCTCCTCCACCCGACCCTCCTATGAATATGGGTGTGTGTGTCGGTAGTTCGTCATTAGATGGGGAAGGCCCATGATCGGCGGCGAGCGAGGGGGGGAAGTGAGAAGAAAAAAGGCCTTCTCAGAAGATTCGGAGCTCCCTCGGCCTTCTGGGTCCCTAAGGTTTCCCGAAAAACGAACGAACAACTGTTCAGAAGATGCGAGGGCTTCTGAGAAGTCTCGGCGCCTTCTGAGACGGCCTTTTCCATCTCATGTCCCCCCCTCGCTCACCGCAGAAATGAAGTCCCTTGAACCATTCGCTTGTGGGGTAGCGCGGAGACTGTGCGCGCTGGCGGGGGGGGCAGGTTCCAAGCGAGGTCCTGCAGGGCGAGGTGCCACGCAGGCGCTCGGCAGGGCAAGCCGGGCGAGGAGCAGGACGAGGAGGCGAGGAGCATGAGGACGAAGGCCACCCACGAGTCAGAACACAGCTGACAACTCTTGACTCCCACCCAGAGACCCCCCGCCTCGATTGCGCCTGAACCCGAATTCTCGAATATTTCGGCGCTGTCTCCCTGGGAATGCATGGCGTTTCACGCCGAGTCGCGTTTCCCTACCCAACAGGTTTAGGGTTTAGGTCGGGCACGTCCTCCTGCCAGCAGATTGTGGGCGAAAAACAACACATAGTGGAAACATATCCCAAAATGACCAAAATAGTTCAAGAATCGTCCCCAGAGTATCGTTGACTTAGTTTTCAACGTTCCTCCTGTGGAGGGGCATGCCAGACTTAATTTTAGGATCGTAGTCCTGCCCTGCAGACCGCGGCCACCAAATCCCAGGGCCCACAAAACGGCGGCGTCCCACTGGCCACCGCTGCATACCGCCAAAAGTTCCAGGGACCTCGAGTGCCCCGAAGATCCCGAGCGCCAGCCCCGCACACTGCCACACCCGCACACTGCAATCAAATGCACCAAGAGAAAAAAAGGCCATAACATGTATATAATACAGACAGACATACATACATACATACATTCATTCATTCATTCATTCATTCATTCATTCATTCATACATACATACAGACAGACAGACAGACAGACAGACAGACAGACAGACAGACAGACAGACATACATACACACATACCTACCGACCTACCTACCTACCTACCTACATACATTAGATTACATTGCACTGCACTGCCCTACACAACACTATAATACATTACATTACATTACATTACATTACATTACATTACATTACATTACATTACAGTACAGTACAGTACAGTACAGCACAGCATATTACAATACATACATTATATATATATATATGTATTTGACATACTTGGAACCATGGGCCAATGCCCCGCACAGTAAGAATAGGCACAACGTCAACGCCCAGAGCACACTCATCAAAAAACGAGCACAGGGAGCCGATACTAATCAAAAGCAAACATGACATATAAACTAACACCTGACTCAATGACAGACACCAACGAGATCACGTTCGCAACGGACGGCAATCTCACGCATAAGCAACACAAACACTCAAACTGACAACCTGAACTTTCTTCCAACTTTCTTGGGGATGCCAACATATACCGATACTGCTACTCCCGGGACCTCTCCCTGGGTGAGGGTCACGATATGGATACCTGTTTCCTCCTCTGATGTATGTTGGCCAGGGACAACTCTGGGCCACCTCAACCTCCAGGCCGGCACGTAGACTGTTGGTACATCGCAGCCTCGGAAAAAAGGAAGGCCGCCTTCCCGTCGCCGTTCTGGTCCAGGATCTTGACGTAGTCCCGCTCAACCTTCCTCCAGTCCACCTCGCAGGACGGGCGCTCCCGATCTCGCGGGCACCACCCCCTCGACCTCTGGCAAGAGGGCGGCCGGAACAGACCCCAACGGCAACATACAAAAAGCCCTTGATTAGAGCGAGGGGGCCGAACGGTCGTTCACTGTTGCTGGGATTCCGCGAAGCGTGGCTGAAGCAGGATTCCGCGATGCGGATTTCTGTTGCTGTTTGCTTGCTGTTGTTTGGAGTCGTCTTCCCCTGGCCCGCGACCCACCCGCGACCCAGCCCGCGACTCGCCAACGACACACCCGCGACCCGACCCGCGACCCACCCCCGAACCACCAACGACCCACCCCGCGAACCGCCCGCGACCCACCCGCGACCCACACGCGACCTACCCGCGACCCACCCGCGACCCGCCCGCGACCCGCCCGTGACCCACCCGCGATCCACCCGCGATCCACCTGCGACCCACCCCGCGACCCATCCCCATTGCTGTAACGAAGAATCGGCGCCTGCGGCGGCCTCGCAGACTGAAGACGTCCCCGCCGCCCCCTCACTCTTATCCGCGACTGCCGCGTGCTGCGTATGATACACCCCCCCTAACGTAGCCAATCCCTACCCTAAGCTGACCCAGGCCCTGTCGACACTGCACCGAAGCTAACCGGACCCATTAAAGTTAACGTGGCCAACGACTCGGCGTCACCAGTGTGTCACGCGCGCGCGCTGTAGCAAATGATGCACCAGAATGGAGCGACACAGCAACATGCAATGAAAAAGTGCCAACTGTATCACTAATCCCGCCTCGCTTTCAATGCAGAATCTGGCCGACATTGAAGCGAGAGCAGCTTTCGCAATCATGGATGTGGCTGGCACTGTGGCGAGAGCACCACTCTCAATCATGGATGTGGCCGGCGCTGGGGCGAGAGCAACTTTCGCAATCGTGAATGTGGCTGGCGCTAAGGCGAGAGTCGTGGGTGTGGCCGGCGCTGAAGCGACAGCAACATTGGCAATCATGGATGTGGTCGGCGCTAAGGCGAGAGCAACTTTCGCAATCGTGAATGGGACCGGCGCTGAAGCAAGAGCAATATTCGCAATCTTGATCGTTGCCAGCACCTAGGCGACAGAAACACTCGCAATCATGGATGTGGCCAACGTTGAGGCGAGAGCTACGTTCGCAATCATGGATATGGCTGGTGCTGGGGCGAGAGCAGCCGTCGTAGTCGTGGGTGTGGCTGGCTCTGAGGCGAGATGGACGCTCGCAAAGACGGATGTAGCCCGCACTGGAGCGAGAGCAACGGTCGCAATCATGGACGTGGCCGGCGGAGATGCGAAACCAAAATTCGCAATCATGGATGTGGCCTGCGCTGCCAACCACGGATGCGTCCTGGGTTAAGGCCAACACAAAGTCGATATAGTGGATGTGGTCACTGGCGAATCGAGAGCATCCGTCGCAATCGTGGGCGAGGTGTCCCACTGAACACGCGCACTGGCTCTAGCGCAACCAGCAGCGCCACTGAGACGAGCAGCGCCAGAAACAGCAGCACCATGCGCAGCATCAACAACATCAAAGCAAACAACTAAAGAAATAGTAGTGCAAACACACAGGCGATCCCAGCAGTACCTCTCCGACCAACACGACAGCAGACAGCACCACCACCACCACGCGCACCAGCACCAGCGACTCTAGCAGCACTAGTATGACGACCACGACGGGGAATGGAGCAGCAGCACCACGCGACACAGCACAAACGCCACCAGCAGCAACATTGTCCCCACAACGACAACGAACAGCACCACCAAACGCAGCAGCACCAGCGTCACCTGCAGCGCCACTATGACGAACACGACCCGGAGCAACAACGCCACGCGAAGCTACTTGAACACAACCAGCTGTACCAGTGTGACCAGCACGACGAGAAGCAGCAGCACTACACGCACCAGCACACGCGCAAAGAGCAGCACCGCCGCGACGCGCACGACTGGATCCAGCAACACGACACGCGCCAATACAAGCACCACCAACAGTACCAGTGCAATCAGCACGACGAAAAGCAGCAACACCAAGCGCAGCAACACAAACGCCACCAGCAGTTCCACTAGAACGAGCACGACGGGAACTAACAGCGCCAGGCGATCAGTGTTGGACTGTGGGCCAGACCAGCGGTGGGGGAGGCGTTCACTCCAGCGCAAAGCCTCAAGGCCCAGATCGTTCAATTTTGCGCTGGGGACCAGGGCGCCCCAGAGCAGGAATGCGCAATCCGTCCGCGCCAAGTTTTGCGAACCCCACCACGGGAGCAACTGTTGCTCGGCTCAAGCCCGAACGGCGGTCGCTCCCAGGGAACGGGTTGCGCCAGTCGGGGCCTACATCAGCAACACTAACCAGCAGCGCCAGGGCGAGCGCGAGGACGGGGTAGTGACTCGTCGTGGGCCCGCCGTCAGCGCCCGCCGCCTGCCGCCGCCCAGCCCGGACAGCAGCTCCAACGCCTAGCACCAGCGCCATGTCCAGCCATCGTCATCACACGCGCAAGCAGCACCACGCCACCAGCAGTTCCACCAGACCGAACACGACGAAAACCAGCAGCACTAGGCGATTCGCGCTAGACTGCGCGAGCGTCCCCCGCCGGCGAGGCCGGCGAGAGGAAAGCGCGATCGCCCCAGCGCAAAGCGTCACGGCCCAAATCGTTCGAGTCTGCGCTGGGCACCGAAGGCGCCACATGGCACAGTCCACAGCCTGTCCCAGGAGAGCCGGCTGCTCGCACCTCGCACCGCAGTCCACGCGGCCTGGCGTAGATGCGCACGACGGCCCGCGACGTGTCGGTCAGCAACACGAGCGAAACGAGCAGTTCCATTGTAACCAGCCCGACAGGAAGCAGCATCGCCAGCAGCAGCAGCAGCGCAAGCGCCACCAGCAGCACAACTGCGAGTAGCAAGACAAAGGCAGCAGCAAGAGCCCCACCTGCAGTGCCACTCCACCAAGCCCTGTCGGAAGCAGCAACACCACGCGCAGCATCAACGCCTCCAGCAGCAGAATCGCAAGCAACACCAGCGCCACCAACAACGGAGCCACCTGCAGCACCACTGCACCGCGAGAAGCAGCAGCACGACGTGCAGAAGCTCCAGCAACCAGCAACACCACCTTGACCCGCACACTGGGAACCAATAGTACAACGCGCACCATCTCTATGGCAACCAGAAGAACTACCGCGACGAGCACTACAGCAGCATCGGCGCCGACACCAGCAGTGCTGAGAGCAGCAGTGGCAAAAGCGACGCCAGTAGTAGCTCTACGGGCCGCACGGCAGCAAGCAGCACAACCACGCACAGCAGCACGAGCGACCCGAGCAGCTCCAGTATGACGAGCGCGACGAGGAGCAACAACAACACACGAAGCAACATCAACGCCGTCAGTTCCGTTCGGGTCAAGCTTTTCCGTTGGAGTCGTCGTCTCCGTCCTCCTGTTCCAGGCCCTCTTCCTCATACGCGCCGTCCAAAGCAAAATTGAACACCATCGGAATGGAATCGAAGGGACGCCCCGTCCCTTTGACCCCTTCCCCGCGCCAGGGGGGTGAGGTCCTGAGGGGGGGGTTCTGGGGGACTCCTGGGGGGGTCCTGGGGGGGTGTTGTGGGGTCCCGGGGGGGGTCCCGGGTTGGCCCTCCTAACTTATAGGGAGCCCACAAAGGACGTACGCGCCCAGCTATGTACATGAACACGGCCCCTCGATTCGCGAGACCGGCCGCGTGAATGCGTTCTCTCGAAACCAGCGTGGATTCATGCACATGTACGTCCTTTTTTCGCTCCTGAACTTAGGTCCCCTCCCAAAGGGTCAAGGGTCTTTTTGGGGGTCAACCTCCAGAGAACTTGCACTTGAACACAAATTGGAAAGACACTGGTGATGGCGACGAGGAGCTGCGTGCGGCGGGCTGTCATGCACGCGTGCACCACTCGAGGCAGCAGTCCGATTTGCCAATCCAGCGGAACGGTGAGCTTCAATTGCGGGTTTTTCCCCCTCCCTCGTCCTCCCTCCCTCCCTCCCCCCCCTCCCCTCCTCCTCCTCTGCCGCGGGGCTCTGGGCGTCTGTAAAAAAAAATCAATTGAAACTGCCTGCAACTCTCTCCGTATACCGCAGCTGGCGAGCTTTGCAACGATTGCGAAACAAATCCCCCAAAACAAAACAGGAGCATCTGCGACACCTCTTTGTATACTTCTGGTGGGACCCCATCTCGCCACGCCGCGGCATCGTTTTTCAGGCACGCCAAGACGTTCACCACGGAGAAACATCACAACGCAGACGGGTGGAAGCTGCCCATCTGCCGTGAACGCGAAACGCCCGCAAATTTGGCCAAACGGTGGTATCGCACGGCTTCTGTACTAGCCGGCGGCTCTGCGGTTGTTCGGGAGTTTCTATGTATACTGAAGGGGCCCTGGGACACAAAAGTACACACAAATAACAAGATTTACCATATGTTCCCATATTTTCTGAGTTTTTGTCTTCCCCCCGCTGCCCATATTTTCGCATATTTTCTTGGGAATCGACGATTAATTGTGTCTGTGTGTTTTTTCCCCTCCTGATAAACGTAGGAGGAGGGGCGCGAGACTGCACGGGCGGCGGTGGCGCGGCGGGCGGGGATCAGGAGGGTGAGGATCAGGAGTATGAGGCTCACGAGCTGCAGGTCCCTGGAGGTCATCCCTCCTCCTCCTCCTCCTCCTCCTCCTCCTCCTCCTCCTCCTCCTCCATCTCCTCCACATTCTCGGCCCGTGGGGCAGTGGGCGGAAGGGGGGGCGGTCTGGCTCTCTGGGCCTCTGCTCAGTGCGACTGCTTTCACCAGTGCGTCCTGTGGGGAGACTCCACCTGCTCGAAACAGGCGCGCAAAAAACATCCAGGATCCACTCTGGGGGGGGGGGTGAAGGGGGATGCGAGGGCCCGCGCCGATCGGCAAAACAATGAATAAAAAACGGATCACCTGCTCGGTGCGACTGCTTGCACCAGCGCGCCCCATGGGGGAGACCCCACCTGCCTGAAACAGGCGTCAAAAGCAGCCAAGATCCGCTCCATGGGGGGGGGAGGGGGGGTGCGACGGCCCGCGCCGATCGGCAAAACAATGAATATGAAAACGATCACCTCCCGGCGCCCTCACTCGCTCCGCTTGGGTCTGTTCCGTCGCTATGCCCGACCTCCGACCGCTGGACCTTACGGCGAAGCCAGGACGAAGGTAACATCGGCTGAGGACAACCGCAAAATCTCTGTGAGAGACGGGCGGCTCTGGAGGATGCCTCGGGCGCCGCGGCATTCTCAGAGCATCCAGACACGCTCTGAGAGAGTCCCAGGACGCTCTGGAACGGACTTCTCCTCGTCCTGGCCCCGCTGGAGACCCTTCTAGAAGAAGACGAAAAACACATAAACATAAACTTTTGGCGCTCCACGCCGATTTCTTGGATGCGCCGCTGGACCCCCCTCCCTGGCGCGCGGAGCTCGCCAGGGGCGGCGCCGGAGGCTCCGCCGGGGGAGCCCAGGCGCGGATCCAAGAAATTCGCGCGGAGCGCCAAAAGTTTATGGTTATGGCGTTTTGTCTCCCTCTATTGTCCACGTCCTGGCCCCGCCGGGGACCCTTCGCGGTCCCAGGTGGCCGCCTGGATGTAACCGCTGTACGACAGGCCCTGGATGAGGCAGAAGGAGGCGCCGACCTTGGCGTGCCGCCGGTGCGCACGACGTCCCCCCAGGGCGCACGGCAGGGGGGCGGGCATCCCAGCGAGCGACCAACCAGCCCTGCACGGTCTCCCCCGGGGCCGTAGGCGACCCGAGGACGAGAAGAAGGAGGAGGAGGAGGGGGAGAGGGAAATAGAGGAGGAGGAGGAGGAGGAGGAGAAAAGGATGCGGAGGAGAAGCTGGAGGGGGAGGGGGAGGAGGAGATGGAGGAGAAAAGAGAGAGGAGGAGATGGAGGAGGAGGAGGAGGAGGAGGAGGAGGAGGAGGAGGAGGAGGAGGAGGAGGAGGAGGAGAGGGAGCAGGAAGAGGAGGAGGACGGGGAGGAGGCGAGAGGAGGAGGACGGGTCGCCTAAGCCCTTCGGAGGAACCCTCAAACTCCTGGGAGGGGTTCGGGCTATTAGGCATTCTGGTACAGTCGGACCTCGGACAGAAGAGCATCCGTCAAGAGAACGAGGCCCTCCGCCCGCCAAAAGAAAGAGAACATCTAAGGGCACAATATGTACAAAAACATCCAGCAAGCACGCAGAATACTAAGGTAACCTCCCCGAACAGAAATCGATATTAAACCTCAACGTCGATCTATCAACCGTGAATCGATCGCGGCCCCGACCGTTCAGAGTTGAATCCGTCGGGACCAATGTCGTTACCGCGTCCCTCGGTGCTTCCGCGTCGCAGACTTCAACCTTGAACGCCTTCGCTGGCGTCGCCAGCCCACCAACGCCGCATGAGTCCACGGTAGGCTGACTGAAGGGCTGTCAAAGCGGACCAAACCAGATCGAGCACAGGATGGCGTTGGGCTGGATTGCAAGGAACCTGGCCAGATGAGACCGAATGCCTGAAGATGTACCAACGCAACCTCCCAGGAATTGCATCCAAGAGGACGGGGTCGAGATGTCCGGAGACCCACGTCGTGAAAACACACGTCAGCGGAGGATGGAGAACGGGACCCACAGGAGTCGGGGAGACATAAGACCCGTGTACGGGGGACTCGAAAATCCCCGACGAGGTCGTCAAAAAAATGACGAGGCCGAGCCTGCATTTTGACGAGGCCTCCCGCTGCAGACATCCCACGAAACTCCTCCTCGTCAAAATCCGAGTCGCGGTCGTCAAAAAACGATGGCGAACCCGAGTCCCGGCAAACCCGGGTCTTACGCTCCCCCGAAGGAGGGCATCTTCCCCTTGACCGAGGCGCACGGACAACCGCTGGCCAGCTGGCCCGGGCAGCGACCGGCAGTTGGGCGGCCCGGGCACGTCTGCGAGTGGAACGCGGGAGCCCGGCTGCCAGCAAAAAAGGGGCACGGGGAAATATCGGGCCCCTGCCTTTCCGAGAGCGCCTTGAAAGAAACAGAGCAAAACTCTGGGCACAGGCGGAAGCTCAGCCTTGCGGGGTGCAGGACACGGCATGCAAGGAGTTTTGACCGAATACGCGCTTGAAAACTTCCGATGCCCGTGCAAACAACACACCCACCAACCCGCAACTCGTTGGCGAAACCAAACTGAGCGGCGGCAATGGCGACTGCGATTCCGATTGTGATTGCGATGATGATGTCCCTGACGACGGTGGGGGCGATGTCGACAATGACGATGATGGTGATGAGACTGATGGTAATGATAATGACGGTGGCAATGATGACGTTGGCAGTGATTGTAGCGATGGTGTAGGTGAGGATGATGAGGAAGTGCGCGCCCGCAGACATGTCACGAGGGCGACGACATCGGCGATGACGATGATGACGGCGGTTGTGACAATGAAGACGACGAGGATGCGATGGCAATGATGACGCTGCCGATGATGACAACGAGTGCGCAGGTGAGGACGGTGGCGAGGTGCGCGCTCGCAAAAACTCGGAACTCCTGCCGTGCTCTTGCTGTCGGACTCTGCACGGGCTTCCGCAGGCTGCTGTACACCTCTCCGTGGAAAGGCGCAGCGCGCGGAGACAGGCGCGTGTGGCCCGCATGGCAGACCTTGACCGTAACGGCGCGAACAACGGAGCACCTCCTGAGCCCACAAAGTGGCCGTTGTTTCAGCGCCGTGGCTCCACGGTGTCCTTCTCACTTCGGCGAACGCACGCGCAGAGGATTCCAACAACGTTCCGTTGCTAAGCACACGGCTGCGACAGTTACGCACACGTGTGACTTGCAACTTGAGAAAACCCTCTGGTTCTGAACACGCTGTGCAAGCGCGCGGCGGCGCGCAATTGTGCCCCGGAGCGCATCATGTGCACAGCTCCCTTTCGGACCCCCACACACACAACCAAACAAAGAAGAGCAAATCTACTCGGGTGCAAAACATCGCATTACTTGAAAAATGAGGGGCCGATGTCGGTTGACCGTGAATCGTTATACTACTTGGTAAGCAGGAAGAGCGATCGTGCAGCACCTAGATGGGAACTATCAATTCGCGGAAGGGTTTCGTTAACCCTAGGCTCGGTGCGGGGGGGGGCGATTCTGCGTCTCTCAAGAAGAGGAACCCATCGGTTGCCAAGCGATGTGTGGGGCCCAAGATACCATCGGCGGGACCTTATCGGTGGAGACCTAATCACCTCACCAGAGTCACGGAAATCATCAGGGTGAGCCCAGTCGCATGTCCGCAAGCTGAGGAGATCCTTCACAGACCCCGATCGCCTCACCAGAAAATGAAGAACCCCTTGGCCACCGACGTCGCGCACTTCTCGTGAGGACGAACGTCTGATGGGGAACAGCTCAGCGGGGGAAATATCATCCTGGAATCGGCGATAGATCGCAGATAAATCGGCGAGACGCCCCCGCAAGCGAGTCCGTCCACACGGTTCAGGGCGGGGTTGGGCCACTGTGGGGGACGAATGGACCATACTCCCCGCCCTGCGCCGATCCCCTCTAACTGACGTTGCCCCTGTTTTGGAAGCCCCGCCCTTCCCTTCTCCTCCCCCTTCTTTCCCCCTCCTTCCTCCTCCCGCCTCCATCTCGACGTCAGCATCGACGACGACGACGACAACGACGACAACGACGACGACGTGGCTGGGGCGCCGGCGCCGCCAGCCGCGATCCTGCCCGCGAACCGCAGCGCCACGCCGGCGCAGTAGCCAAGGGTGGAGCCCAGGGTCAGCTGCCCACCTCGTGCCGGGGGCCCCGCCAACCCTCGAGCCTGGAGCCCGGAGCCTCGAGCATCTCACCTCGAAGCTCGGTTCTCATATCTCGACCCTTCGAACGGGTCTCGACCCTCGAGCCTCGAACCTCGAGCCTCGACCCCTCCAGCCTCGACCAGCAGCTTGACCAGGCATCGGGGCAGCAGCTTGACCGGGCCCAGCAGCGGAGATCGTTCGCGGGCGGCCTGCTTTGGGGCGCCAGCGGGGCCCACAGCATCGAGCGACCCACGCTGGAGCCACCGCCGCGCCTGACGCACTGCGCGAGTCTACCGCGCTGCGCCACGAACGAGACCGAGGGATTCCCGATGCAGCAATCGTGGAAAACTTCCCACAGGGGGTCCGAGCAGACGGGCGTGGAGGATCGTGCATCGGCGACGCATCGCCGAAGCATCGGCGACGCCGGCGATGCATTGGCACCGTCGGCGGCCCCATCTACTCGGACCCGATGCTGAACGCCTGGCGCCGTGCTACCGGGAAGCAACTCCTGGGAGGTCTTTGGAAGAGTGATCAGGAGGCTAGCGACCATTAAACAATATCAGGCCACAGAAGGCAAGAACGACGCCGAATTTGATCTCATGGGCGGGAATCAGCACGGCATCGATGCTATACATATATATATATACAACGCTATCAAGCACAGGCGCGCGACGGCATCTGAGGAGCTTCTGGGGTGTTCCACATGCTTCGTCAACTGGCTGTTGGAGGCACCTCTTGGGTGCCTCTTGGGGGGGCGTTTGAAGGTCCCTTGGGGGCATCGGTTCTGCAATCTGAAGCCGTCGTTGGCCGTCTTGGCTGCGTGGAGGCCCGACTTGAGGCTACCTGCGGCCAGATTGAGGCAATCCGGAAGCCTGCCGGGGGCCTCCTGGAAGCAGTTTTGATGCAATTGGTGCACGCCTGGGCTATTTTAAAACCTCTTGGACGTCTCCCAGGGGCCTTTTGGGCCCTCGGGGAGCTTTTGGGGTCCTCGTCGGACCACTTTGGGGCCTCTTGCAGCCTCCTGTGGGCCTTGTGGGGGGACCGCTCTGCTGTTCGGTCGCGTTCCCCTTCTCGGGCCTCTCTTGGGGCTCTTGGGGCCCTCTCGGGCCGTCTTGGGCGCCTCAAGCACCGTCTTGGGGCCCTCGCGGGCCGTCTTGGGGCCCTCTTGGAGGGCTCTTCCTCTATGTGGGAGCGGTATTGGAAGCCTTTGGGGCCGTCTTGGAGCATCGGGATGCCAAAAGGCAGAGAATTAGCCTGGCGAAGGACCCAACCATATGCAACTGTGAATACCGCAAGTGTGAATATCGTTTTCGGCGGCGCTACCTCTGGGTAGTGGAGACGCATGCGAACACCCCCACTGGGGCCTTCGGTGGAGCTCCCTATGGGGCTACGAAACGCTGCCCTGGGTGGGGGAACCGCATGCAGGCAGCCCCACTGGGGCCTTCGGTGGAGCTCCCTGTGGGGCCACGAAACGCTGCCCTTGGTGGGGGAACCGCATGCGGGCACCCCCACTGGGGCCTACGGTGGAGCTCCCTCTGGGGCTACGAAACGCTGCCCTGGGTGGGGGAACCGCATGTGGACACCCCCACTGGGGCCTTCGGTGGAGCTCCCTATGGGGCTACGAAACGCTGCCCTGGGTGGGGGAACCGCATGTGGACACCCCCACTGGGGCCTTCGGTGGAGCTCCCTACGCTGCCCTGGGTGGGGGAACCGCATGTGGACACCCCCACTGGGGCCTTCGGTGGAGCTCCCTATGGGGGGAACCTGGGTCCATGTCCCAGCTCCCCTGGGGGAAACGCTGCCCTGGGTGGGGGAACCGCATCTGGGGGTGGAGCTCCCTATGGGGCTACGAAACGCTGCCCTGGGTGGGGGAACCGCATGTGGACACCCCCACTGGGGCCTTCGGTGGAGCTCCCTCTGGGGCTACGAAACGCTGCCCTGGGTGGGGGAACCGCATGTGGACACCCCCACTGGGGCCTTCGGTGGAGCTCCCTATGGGGCTACGAAACGCTGCCCTGGGTGGGGGAACCGCATGTGGACACCCCCACTGGGGCCTTCGGTGGAGCTCCCTATGGGGCTACGAAACGCTGCCCTGGGTGGGGGAACCGCATGTGGACACCCCCACTGGGGCCTTCGGTGGAGCTCCCTCTGGGGCTACGAAACGCTGGTGGGGGAACCGCATGTGGACACCCCCACTTGTGGGCCTTCGGTGGAGCTCCCGCTACGAAACGCTGCCCTGGGTGGGGGAACCGCATGTGGACACCCCCACTGGGGCCTTCGGTGGAGTTCTGCTACATGCCCTGGGTGGGGGAACCGACACCCCCACTGGGGCCTTCGGTGGAGCTCCCTCTGGGGCTACGAAACGCTGCCCTGGGTGGGGGAACCGCATGGACACCCCCACTGGGGCCTTCGGTGGAGCTCCCTATGGGGCCACGAAACGCTGCCCTGGGTGGGGGAACCGCATGCGACACCCCCACTGGGGCCTTCGGTGGAGCTCCCTATGGGGCCACGAAACGCTGCCCTGGGTGGGGGAACCGCATGCGACACCCCCACTGGGGCCTTCGGTGGAGCTCCCTATGGGGCCACGAAACGCTGCCCTGGGTGGGGGAACCGCATGTGGACACCCCCACTGGGGCCTTCGGTGGAGCTCCCTATGGGGCCACGAAACGCTGCCCTGGGTGGGGGAACCGCATGTGGACACCCCCACTGGGGCCTTCGGTGGAGCTCCCTATGGGGCTACGAAACGCGTGAGAGGTGTGCCGAGAGCAGAGGCAAGGAGGGGGAGGAGGGGCGAGGAGGAGGAAGGAGGAACGCGGGGCACCGTCTCTTCAAAACGAGGACCCAACACCACAGGATGGTTGGGAAAAAAACCGTCAAAGCCCAATCGTAAAACAATGAGTTGTGCCTCTTGGGGCCACCTTGGGAGATCTCTTGGAGTCTCGTCGGCCCTCTTGGGAGCTTCTTGGGGGCCTCTTGGATCCGATTGGGGGCCTCCTGGGACTTCCCGAGAACCTCTCGGGGTAGAAAGCTCGGATTCTCGGTTCATGTTTCCCTTCTTGGGCCTCTCTTGGGGCCGTCTTGGGGCCCTCTCGGGCCGTCTTGGGCGCCTCAGGCACCGCCTTGGGGCCCTCGTGGGCCGCCCAGGGCCCTCTTGGAAGCCTCTTCGGCTATCTTGGAGCTGTCTGGGAGGCCTCTTCCTCCTCCTCGTCCCCCTCCTCCTCCTCCCACTCCAGCTCTCTCTCTCCTCCTGATCTTCCTCCTCCTGCAGCGTGTTCCGGAAGGCTCCCGCCGGAACATGCTGTGCACAAGTGCTGTCACTGCTCCCGCCATCGTGCCCTGGGTGGTGGGTCAGAGGCCTCATGGGTGTTGGTTTGGATCTCGTGGTTGGCCTGTCAGGGACGTCGTGAAAGCAGCTTCGCAGCTTCTCGGTAGCCGTTTTGGGACCGTTGTGGGGCCTCCTCGGGCTGCTTTGTGGCCTCTTTAGGCCTCGTTTGGGCCTCCTGGGTGCCTCTTGGGGGCCTCCTGGGGCCTCTTGGGGGCTCCTTGGGGCCTCCTGGGGCACTCTTCAAGCGGGAGGGTCGAATTTTGGAGTCGTGGTCCCCCTCTTGGGCGCATCTTGGGGCCGTCTTGGGGCTCTGTTGGGCTGTCTTGGGCGACTCTGGGGCCGTCTTGGGGCCCTCTTGGGCCGTCTTGGGGCGCTCTTGGGGGCCTATTGAGCCGTCGTGGAACGTCGGACAGCCGAAAAGGCTGGAAGGCCAAAATCGGTCGAAAACCTTCGTAAAATTGACGATTTCGGCATCTGGAAGCGCTCTGGAGAGGCGTCTTGAAGCGTCGTGGAGTGCCTTGGGGGGCCTCTCGGGCCGTCTTGGGCCTATCTTGGGCGTCCTGGAGCGGTCTTTCGGCGACTCGGGGCCCGCTTGGGCCGTCTTGGGAGCCTCTGGAGGCCCTTCAAGACTATTTTGGACCTCCCCGGCCGCCCCTCCTCCCATGGGGGGTCGGAGGCGGCGCCCTCCGAGGCCCAGGACGCGGAAACCCTTTTTTAAAAACACAGGGAAAATGAGCCCCAGTACCCCCATGGAGGCTTTTCGGCGCTCTTTGACCGATGGGAGCTCGAAAACGCGAGAAGACAAAAACATTGAAAAGAACATTGAACATATACGACTTTGGCCTCTCCGGGCCGTACCGCGATACCTATCAGACTTCTTGGGGTCTCTTGGAGGCCACTTGGGAGCCTCGAGAGCCGTCAGAAGGCTGACTTGGGCTGCTCGGGAGCGTCTTGGGCCATCCTTTCGCATTCTAGGGGCTCCTAGGGGGCGTCTTGGGCCCTCCTGGAGCGCTGTGGAGGCTGCCCAGAAAGGCTGGGGCAGCAGTGCCAGGAGCGTCCCCGAGATGTAGCCATATCTTTTCAGCGCGTTCCAGGAGCATCTTCCCGGAACGCGCTCGTGGCAGGACGCCCACGGCCGAGGACGTTGGCATGGGAAACCGCAGCGCGTGATCATTCCAGCGCGTTCCGGCGAAGACCGTCCGGAACGCGCTTAGGCAAGCGCTGGGTTTGAGGAAGGCGAGTGGGAACCGTTCAGGCAGTTTGGGATGCTCGGGGCAAGAGGCGGAAGCCATCCTCAGAAGACATGCAGTCTTCCTGGAGCCGTCTTGCAGAAAACAAAAGAGAAATGAGACCCTGCAGTCGTTCCTGGAGCCGTCTTGGAGCCCTCTTGGGCTGACCTGGAGCCTGTTGGAGCCCTCTGCGGAATGGTCTTGGAGCCCGCGCCGAGGATCTAGAAAATGTCCGGGACCATCGCGGCGGCCTCCGAGGCCCCGGACGCCGAAACCCCGTGAAAACACAGCAAAAATGAGCCCTGGTACTCGCATGGAGGGTCGGGCAGCCGTTTTCGGGCCCCTGGGTTAGAACCATCGCGCGCGCTTCGCGCGCGCGCGCTCAGGTTCTAGCCCAGGCCGGGGGGGCGCTGGACGATCTTGGACAACGCTATCAAG